GGCTCCTCTTTACCTCCATGAAAAATGGAGGTATTGTTTTTGGCGTGGCTGTGTGTGTGTCTGTGTGTCTGTGTGTGTGTGTGTGTGTGTGTCTGTGTGTTTGTGCTTCCGCACATTTGTAGTAAGCATAACTCCATAATGCCTTTATGGATTGTGATGATATTTGGTATGATGGTGGGTCTTAGGAAGCCAAATGTCAAGGTCAAATATGGGCCTTCTGGTGGATGACCTTGGTACTGCAGCAGAACGTCCGGTTTTTGTATCTTTTGTCCTGAACATGCTATGGTCTTGATTTTTTGGTGGCAAATAGATTGTCCTGTCAGGAATAAGTGGTGTGGGTTTGGTCCCCCTAGCAGCTAGTTCTGGAACTGCAGGGGACTTTCGGGGAAAATCTTTAAAAGCCAATAAGTCCAGATAGGAACAATGTATTTTCATCATTTTTGGTAGGTAGGTAGCTGAGAGAGAGATGTACATAATTAACAGCAAATTATGCAAATGAGGACTTAATTTGCATAATTAATGAGGAATTCTATAATTACAGTGTTTTACATTATACTACTTTCATACATGTCATGTATGTGATCTATGGCAGATGGAATATCAACAGATACCAATTATGCAAATGATGACCTATTTTGCATAATTAATGCGAAAATTCTATGACTCCTTAGTGGTAAATGATGGGAATTTCAATGTAATTGAATTTTAATGTAAGTTAATCAAAAGTTAACATCACGATGCATTTATTATGTTAATGTGGCGGTCATTTGCATAATTAAAGAAGAAATTTACATTCACATGTCAAGCCCATATTTCATGGAGGTATGAGATCTCGGAACTCTTGTTGTTTATGGTTTAGTTACCTCCATGAAAAATGGAGGTATTGTTTTTGGCAAGTCTGTCTGTGTGTGTGTCTGTGTGTGTGTGTTTCCGCACATTTGTAGTCAGCATAACTTCATTATGCCTTTATGGATTATGATGATATTTGGTATGTTGGTAAGTCTTAGGAAGACAAAGGTCAAGGTCAATGGTTAAAAGATGTGCACATTTTATGGATCAGACATTGTTACCTTCGCCAAGAAGGTTATGTTTTCAGAGGCGTTTGTGTGTGTGTCTGTCTGTGTGTGTGTCTGTCTGTCTGTCTGTGTGTCGGTCTGTCTGAGTATAAACACGATAACTTGAGAAGGCTTACATGGATTGACTTCATATTTGCATGGAGGTAGAAAAAAGGAACCCTTTTTTCTACCAAACGAACATATTAATAGCCAGTATGAAAGGCTGGCTTATCCCAGGCCCTTTTTGGTCGCTGAATGCAAGCAGACTTGTTGGGGGGCGCGAAACCTTCTCTCCGTGACAAAACTCCCTCGGTGGCAAAATCGTCCCTCCACAGAATAACTCGCTCACAGAAAAAAAAATAATGCTGCTTCCAACAAGTCTGCAAAGGAGGCTATTGAAGTCCATATATAATAATTTAAAAGTACTTTACAAGTCCTCTCCCAGTGCACAATGGTCAATACAATGCTAAGAATCCTTCACATCAAGACGAAATTACCTTTTTTTCACAAGCTGCATGCTACATGTACAAGCTACATGTACCTCCCTCAATGACAGTGGTGATTTTGCAAATTTTAACTACCAGGTTTTGAGATCATTGCTTTGCGAGGTTGCCTTGGAAAAAAAAATCCAACAGGTATTTGGTCCAAATATTTACACTGAGGCTCCTTCGTTTCTTTAGGGTTCCAATAGACGACTACGCGGTATGTATCATGTACAATGTAGTCCAATGACTGCCTGCCAGATATCTATCCCATTTGTCAGAAACTCTGTCCGTCCCATACTTTTACCTCCATGAAACATGGAGGTATTGTTTTTTGTGTCCGTGTGTTTGTGTTTCCACACATTTGTAGTCAGCATAACTTCATAATGCCTTCATGGATTGTGATGATATTTGGTACATTGTTAGGTCTTAGAAAGACAAAGGTCAAGGTCAAACATTGGCCTCCAGGTGGCTGACCTTGGTACTGCAGCAGAACTTCCGGTTTTTGTATCTTTTGTCCTGGTCTTGAATTTTTGGTGACATACAGCTTTTCCTGTCAGAAATAAGTGGCGTACGTTTTGTCCCCCTAGCAGCTTGTTCAGGAACTGCAGGGAAGTTTCTGGTGAAAATCTTTTTAAGTGGATTAAGTCAATAAAGGAACAACGTAGTTTCATCATTTTTGGTGTAGTCTAAGGTACATTGTAGCTTAGAGAGAGGTGTACATAATAAGATGTAAATTATGCAAATGAAGGCTAAATTTGCATAATTAAGTAGGAAATTCTGTAATTACAGTGTTTTACATGATAGTACTTTCATACATGTGATGGTCTCGTATGTAATCTATGGCAGGTGAAACATCAACAGATACATGTACCAATTATGTAAATAATGACCTAATTTGCATAATTAATGTGAAAATTGTAATGGTGCATGATGTGGAATTTTATACCTTGTGACATGTGTAAGTTATTTAAAGGTTAACATCACTATATATATTGTTAATGTAGAGGTCATTTGCATAATTAATGAGGACAAGTTGAAATGAAATATTGCCAAAGGATAGGAATTCCTCACGCAAAATATTGTAATTTGAGTTCAGAAAACCAAAAATGAAACTATTAATTATGACCTTACTTCCATATACATGTACAACTAGAATTCCGAGATCTCATACCTCCATGAAATATGATCTTGATATGTAAATGTAAATTTCTTCTTTAATTGTGCAAATGACCTCTGCATTAACATGATATATGCATCGTGATGTATGTTAACTTTTGATTAACTTACAGATGTCCCAAGTATGACATTCTCATCATTCACCATTACGAAATCATAGAATTTTCGCATGAATTATGCAAATTAGGTCATTTGCATAATTAGTATCTGTTGAAGTTCCGCCTGCCATAGGTTACATACATTACATGTATGTAAGTAGTATAATGTAAAACACTGTAATTATAGAATTTCCTCATTAATTATGCAAATTAAGTCCTCATTTGCATAATTTGCATTTAATTATGTACATCTCTCTCTCAGCTACCTACACACCAAAAATAATGAAAATATGTTGTTCCTGTCTGGACTTATTGGCTTTTAAACATTTCGCCAGAAAGTGCCCTGCAGTTCCAGAACAAGCTGCTAGGGGGCCCAAACTCATATGACTTCTTCCCAAGCACGAGAGCTACCTTCCATCAAAATTTCATGACCCTAGCATGTCCAGATCACGAGATATCGTAAAACACTGTAATTATAGAATTTCCTCATTAATTATGCAAATAAAGTCCTCATTTGCACAATTTGCATTTAATTATGTACATCTCTCTCTCAGCTACCTACACACCAAAAATAATGAAAATATGTTGTTCCTGTCTGGACTTATTGGCTTTTAAACATTTCGCCAGAAAGTGCCCTGCAGTTCCAGAACAAGCTGCTAGGGGGCCCAAACTCATATGACTTTTTCCCAAGCACGAGAGCTACCTTCCATCAAAATTTCATGACCCTAGCATGTCCAGATCGCGAGATATCAAAACCGGAAGTTGCGCTGCAGTACCAAGGGAAGCCACTAGGGGGACCAAAATCTCATCATTTCCAGTTTTCGTCACACCCTACCAACACACTAAGTATGAAACCAATCCATCCAGGCGTTCTTGAGTTATCTTGTTGACCAACAGACAGACGGACAGACGGACAGATAAACGCAACTGAAACTAGAGTTCGATGATCTCATACCTCCATGACATGTGTATTGCTTTCATAAATCTTACGCATGGTGATGACCACCTGTAATTGGCTTACATTTTTCACCGCATATATTCAAATTATATAAGGCCATTTGCATATATTGTATCAATTGATCATACTCTCCACCAAATGACAGGGTTATCTTAAGAAATAAGGCTATTCTAGCGTTTCCTCATAAATTATGCAAATGAGGTCCTGATTGAAATAAATTATGTTTAGTGATGTTCACCTTCACTGAACTTCCAATTATGGTAAGTATTAAATTCCCAGCAGTTACCACCATAAAATTGTACCAATTTGCCATTTATTATGCAAATTAGGTCTTCCTTTACATAATCGATATCTGCCAATGATCTTGTCTTTCTCACTAACATATGTCTATAGAGTTTTATAGCCCTAATATGAAATACAGCTGATTTATAGAATTTCCTCATTAATTATGCAAATTAGACCCTGATTTGCATAATTATATTTTGATTATGTCAAGCATCACTTAAGCTACCTACATACCAAAAATCATGATGATCCATCAAACGGTTGTTCAGTTATCCTCTCTCGAAGATTTTCAAAGAAACCACCCTGCAGTTCCAGAACAAGCCGCTAGGGGGACCAAACTCACGTGACTTCTTCCCGAGGACAAGAGCTACCTTCCATCCAAATATCATGACCCTAGCATGTCCAGATCGCGAGATATCAAAACCGGAAGTTGCGCTGCAGTACCAAGGGAAGCCACTAGGGGGCCCAAAATCTAATCATTTCCAGTTTTCGTCACACCCTACCAACACACCAAGTATGAAACCAATCCATCCAGGCGTTCTTGAGTTATCTTGTTGACCAACAGACGGACGGACAGACGGACAGACGGACGGACAGATAAACGCAACTGAAAATATAACCTCCATGACACATTTCATGGAGGTAAATATAACCTCCATGACACATTTCATGGAGGTAATGAGACAAATCCCTCCAATAACAATTTTACGTAAACTCTACATATTTCATGGAGGTATGAGATCTCCGAATTCTTGTTTGTCATGTTCATGATCATCATCAAAGTGTGATACCTGACAACAGAGTCTGACAGCCCTACCAGGAATGTGCCTGTCTCATTATATTAGAGCTGCCATAGATCATACAATAGCAACAGGCGTTGTCAGGCAACAAGGTCAGAAACAGGATCTAAACATAAAGGGCCCAGCTACAGCTCGTAGTAGCTGACGTGGCAAGACCGCTGGCTGAAACGAATTGGGACAGGGTTTCAAGGAGCTAAAAGCACTAGAAGGTACGACCACTAACATAAAGTCTTTTGGGACTCTTCATTATATGCCCTTGGCAAGTGTCTACCGTACGGTATTTGAGACAGGAAGCTTGGAAGCAAGGACTATTATCCAAAGTCTACAGTAACAGACTACCATGTAAAGTGGTAATGTGACCATGTATGGCTTATACTACATGTAGATTTAAGACCAATTGTATGGCTTATACTGGATTAAAACAGCTAACGTTACATGTATACCTAAAAGGGAAATATAGTCAACCAAAAATTAAAATCAAAAACAGTCTAATAACTTCTGAATTCTGATGGAAAAATGCTTTCACTTTCATTATCATGTACAGTATATGGTATTTGTTTCCACTTTCTATTCACACTCCTCTGTTATACTGTTTTTCATGGTATGGATGAAATATTTTGTTTTCCCTCATGTTTCTTCTCCTTCTCCTCCAATGCCATTTCCTTAAAAGGATTCAATTTCTTAATTTTTTTGCCAAATGATCTGAAATTTAGAGGTAGAGTGGCCAAATGCCCCTGAATGTTTTTGTTTTTCTGATACAGGCTTTTGAATATTTTTTTGCCAAATGATCTGAAATTTAGAGGTAGAGTGGCCAAATGCCCCTGAATGTTTTTTGTTTTTCTGATACAGGCTTTTGAATATTTTTAACCATTTTTAGGCAAAAAAATGTACATTTTATTCAAATAACCTGAAATTTGTTATGGGCATACCTTGGACCATGGAGGCAAAACATATGTGAACAGAATTATATGATTGTACACCTTTGACATACTTTATGCTACTTTAAAGTTGCTTTCTGCTACTTTCAAGTTGCTTCTGCTAAAATTGGGCTTTTTGGCTATCTTAAGACAAAAACATCCTTTTTTGCTCCACCTGAGCCCTAACATTTAAACGAAATGACCTGGAATTTGGTATGGGGTTGCCTTGGGCACAAGGTCACAGAGCATGTATCACACACGTCACACGTCATGTAGTTCTGAATAACAGTAGAACATAATATAAAATAATTCTAATAGTTACATAATATACATTTGTATTATGTAACTATGAATTTTTTCCTTACAGGCTGAAGACGATTTCTACTTTGGACAGTACACTTAATTTGTAAGCTGTCAGTCAACATGGATGCCCCACACGGAGGTAAAGCTAAGCCGTAAAATTATCTTGCAATGAGTGTAATATACAATACCTTATAAAGTTTATGTTTTAACAGTATACAAGTATTGTAACTTAATGATCAATAAGTTATCAAAAATATGTTCAATAAGTTATAAAAATTATGTGTAATGCCTTGTGATATGGTCCGTAACAGTCACTGCTGATTTGTTCTCCTGTTTCTCAGCTTCTTTCTTTCCTGCTGTGACTAATTTACACCTAGGACTGCATATTTCACTATTGTTGTAACAATTTTATACATGTATACATGTATGTCACCATGAATTTAAGTCTGGGATCACATTGTTAACAGAAACACCTAGCTTCAGTGCACAGTGAATCTGTCATAATTGCTCTGATGAAGATGTTTAGGTCATCAAAACTTTCAAACTAGTCAAACAAGTGGTTGTGATTAAAAATCATGTAACATTATATCATATAAATACATACAGTACATGTACATGTGCTAGTAAAATCTGATCTGGAGTCTCCTGTCACCCAGTTCTGTCATGGGCCATTGTTTCCCAAGAATTGACATCAATGTTACAACTCCTAAGGTTTTCCTTAATAAGGTTGTCCTTTTATGTTTATGTACCTTAGTTAAAGGGTTACCCGTACTTTGTTACCCTCGGAGCCAGACTAGTATTGGACCGTTAGTGGTTTTTCTTTGGCAGCCAAGAGCCCTTCGCCCACCTATCAAAATTACCGTTACATAAATTATGGAGTATGCGTAGTGGCCCAGTGAGCCCGGGATGAGTTTGGTTATTACTTTGTATAGGAAATCAGCAGGCTGCTTCACTGATCCAATTTTTGCTACTTCTACCAACATAGACCCACGAGCTTGGACAAGGGAACAAGTAAAAGAGTGGATTATCAGTCAAGGATGCCGCAGTATGGATCTTAACATTGAGGGAGATGAGCTGTGCCGGAAGGGCAGGAGATGGTTTAGGGACAACTTTCCAGGGATGGGCCAGAAGCTTCGTGATGACCTGCAACGAAGGCGTGATGCCATTGCAAATGAACGGGTAAGTAAAACTTTCACTCCAAGGGCAAAAATGTTGAATTGTTTGTTAAACTTTGTTTCTTTGTTGTTTCCGTGTAAGGTTGATATAGTAGCAGCTTTTCTTGGTATTGTAACAGCTCTTCCTTTTTTTTATCAATTGAACCATACACACAGCAGCCTGCTCAACTTCTAAAGATTAAATATCGATGGATTTCTATGATTTGGGGCATGAAGATAGATGCAACAGTTCATATTCAATATCATTAAATTCAGATTCAAATGTTCAGATTACAGTACAGAAGCTGGGTTTTAAGGGATCTCCACAGAAATTTAGACCTGGGTGGGTCAGAGTTCAAAGCACCTGATGCAGCTTCCCCATCCCTTGCATTTTGTCTTTCCCAGAGACAAATAGAAGTCATTTCCTGGAAGTCATCATTGGATGCTAGCGTAATGACCTTTAGCCTCTGTTTTCCCTTCTTTCTGCTAGCATCGCCATTTTTCCAAAAGTTTCGAGCTGTTTTACGGGCAAATTTCAATCGTTTTAAACATTTTATGGCCTAAAAATTAATTTGACTAATGAAATAAGTTATAATTGTTATTTTCATGTGTAACATTTCTTCTGGGAATGGATCATTTTTCCGCTGTGTTGCCCATACAAGCAGCACGATGCACGCGATTAGCGGCTCAACCCACGCCGCTCCGCGGAAGATAAAGTGAATGACGAGCAAATATCTTTTTTTTACCGGGAAAATATTGAAACAAGTTGTGCTTCAGTCAGCGAACAGGGCCTGGAGTTCATTTATTTTCAGCTTAGTTCTGCTATTATCTACAATGTAGGCTAAAATTTTTATCGGCGCACCGTGCGACTGTGATTGCAAATGTAGTCGCACCGTCAAAATTTTGGGTGCATATGCGACCAAATCAGTCGCTGTCACGAGCCCTGACGTTTGCTTAGCTTTCTGGTTTAGTAACGAAATGGTATTATTCTTCACCGTAGAATGTCATTTTGTTGTCGTAGAAAACAGTGGAAAACGCGAGGGGGGCAACAACAAACAGAAAAGCTTGCTCCGCAGCATGCAATACTCGAAACCCCATAACCGGACAGGGCAGCAGTTTATGTGGACCGAGCAGGGCAGCAGATTCCGATTACCATTTTATTGGTTCTGATAACCCCCTAGTACACCCTCTTAAAATCAATATTTCATCTTCAACTTTACTTCAGAATCTGTAAAAAAAGAGAATCCATGCTAACGTTATACAGAAATATAAAAGGGGGCCCGCAAGCCCTTTTCCGTGGAGCGTAATCGACCGTTTTAATTCTATGTAGAGCGTAGACGGACCGCTCTAATTCAACGTAGAGCGTAATTGGCGCATTTAGCGTAGAGCGTCATCCGCCATTTTAATTCTGCGTAATGCGTTGTAGCTATCGGGAATTAACCGTAAAGCGTAATCGATTAATTGTGCATAGAGCGTAATCCAAGCCGCAAACGAGAACTCGAGGCCTCGCAAGTGCTCTGATTTTTTTCTCTGAAATCCTCTCAAAAACGCATGAAATGCCATTTTAGAAGGTTCATTTTTCAAAATTTTCCGGGGGAGCATACCCCTAGACCTATGGCGCTTGCTGGTCCCTCAAGCAGTGGGAAGAACCCCCCACACACACACACACAAAATCCTGGCTACGGGCATGCTCAGGCGCAGCTTGATCTGGAGTTGGATCTTCTGAAGAGCGCTAAAAGCTTTTAAGTGAACTTCTGTGTTCGGAATCTTTCGAATTTAGAATTTAGCGTAGAGCGTAGAGAGGCTTCTTGAATTCAGCGTAATACGTAGCCGGCTCTCAGAATTTAGTGTAGAGCATTGTCGGGACCCCCCCTTGCAGGCCCCCATAAAAGCTATGTCCATATCTGTATTCATCAGAATTTTCTGGGTAGCCATTACAATTTCGGTAATTTCAGCCAGAAATTGTTTCCTTTTTGAGGGTTCCGAGGGCGTTGTCAGAACTCCATAATGAAAAATACTAGTACCCGAAGGGTGGGCTCACCCGTACAGTTCATAGTTCCCAATACCTATTATACATATAAGACGATTTGGCCAATCCCCTCTTCCAACCTCTGGGTCTCTGGTATTCTCCTGCAATAACTTATAGACCTCAAGAAACTGGGATGTGCCACCTTATATTACATTGTATCATACATGATACGTATACCCGGTACTATAGACATACATTTGTACGTCTAAAGTATTGAGTCATGAGAACAATGAGCCCTGGATGTTGGCAGTAAATTAATATTTTAGTGGTTTTTCCATGAACAGAGAACAATGAATGCCCCAGGGATGTAGCCTCTACCAGGCTTCGGGAGGTAAAAGGAAAGAGTAGAAATCAGCCAAATAGAGAGATAACATGCCAGGGGAGTCCGCACTGAGAGAACAGTTTGCCCCACCGGAAGCCTGTGCGGGGTCGCTACAATCAAACAGTATGAAATAATCCCCTTATTATTAGAAGAAAAACTCACACTGACAACCTCAGCGCAGAAGATCATAAGCAATAAACCAACCAGCGCGTCATGGGGAGTCGCACCCATGTGTGATGCCGGTTTTTTGCACGCTGTGATAACGCTACCGTTGATACTCTACTGGAGACAACAGATGAGTGATCATTTTACAATCAACAAGTACAGCATCAACAAGTTGAATGAAACAGCAATGAAAGCTATGATGCAGCAAGTTATTTTTCAAAAATATTTGTCTCCTGTTTGAAAGATAAGAGGCGTTTTATTTTTTTATGTGATCTAACCTCGCTGGTAATTTGTAGTGGGAATGTTTCCAGTACGTGAGAAGTGGGAAGGTGGCAGCTTGGTAAAATTTTCTTGTGAAATATGAGTTTACGAAGCAAGGCTGGTGGTACATATAATTCCGATGTTTGGTGAAAATATGACATAACGATATGGAAATTCTTTCGCGGGCGGGTGCAATTCAGATCGGCGAAAAGCAGTGCGAATGCATTGTGAATTCAGTATCGATTTGGATAGACAATTTTCTATTCAGATAGGCCTGTTAATCAAATAGAAAAACTGAGTGTCAATGGGGGTCTTAAAGTGTACCAGGTGCTGCGCGGCCATTGTACCCCATGCCGCTAGCAACAGGGAAGCATACAGGCTGAAAACGGGGTCTCATGCTGCTTATCCACAAAGATCTTGATCTGAAACACGGTCGGTATGATCTTAGATATTATGAGGTTCTCTTTTCTCTGAGTTTTGTGTTTATTTTGACAAGAAAATGTACCGTTATGGACTAAAAGTTTGAGACTTTCTGTCACATGGTCACACCGCCTGTTCGTGTCACTGTCCATCACGGCCAAGTCGCAAAGCAATAAAAATTAAAAGGGTAATTTAGCTACTTGGCACCTATTAGATAGCGATTAATTTTAAATTTTCAAAGAAATGGTGACCCCAAACAGGCAACTGTTCTCTCAGCGCAGACCAACTCCCTTGGTATGTTATCTCTATTTAGCCGATTTCTACTTATCAAGCTCTTTCCAGCCGCCTCCTGAAGCCCCTCAGGCTACCAGGGATGGACTGGGAGGTGAAACTGCACACAATTATAGTAAGATTATTCCTAGGTAAGGCTAGGTTCACAAGGGCTGACTGGAGGACAAAACCAAATTGGAAGAATAGGACTTCCTTCATAAACAATTACTCAGGCTGTGTCATCCTTTCACAATTGTCAATATATTATTATTACACTGTACATGTATGTCACTGCCTAATACAAGGGTATAGGTAATTAATATTCTTTTATCATCTTGATGATTAACAGATGTTTGCGGATAAAGGAAGAACAGAAAAACGTGTCACTGAGGGGACCAGGGTAGCCTTCCTTACAATGGCATTCCAGATCTGCATGATCTTCTACCTGCTCAGAGAGCAGCTGCAAAAAGCATCTAACATCCTACAGCATTTGTATGCGCTTCTCGATGTTGTCAAACGTGAGTCAGTTACATCTTTCTCTAATCTCCTTCTAGTAACATCATTCCCTTGGAAGGAGATTTGGAACTCTTGTTCTAAATTAAATCATGGTTCTTAAGACACAGACACACACACACACATATATAAAAATCACACACAGACATACAAACACTACGGAAACATAACCTTAGCGAAGGTAACAAGAAAATTACAATTTTAATTGTATTTAAAAGTATGACTATAAGGTCTCCGAATTCTTGTTTATACTTACAATCACTATCAATTTTGTGTACTTGTCCAGGAAGAGCTGGCAAGAATAAAGTTGATCCTGACCTCTTCAGAGAGGGAAGAATTCAAAGCAGCATCACAAGCAGGGCAGCAGTGGGCTCCGACGAAGTTACACTAGTGCATGGATCAGAATGCATTGATGTTACTGGTGAGACAAACAGCAAGGCAGTAACAACAATGTGCGAAGCCATGAATGTCATAGGAGCAGACCTGAAAATCAAATTTAAGATTGCTCTATGGAAGAAAGTTGCATTTGGAGCAGCAGCTGCAAGTGCAGTAGGGTTGACTGCAGGTGGGGCAGCAGTTTTCTTTGGAGCATGTAAGTATCTATCACTTTTTAATGCACTGCAATGTTACATAGTACATGTACACAAAATGTCTATGCAGATACAATCTATTACTATTACATACTATTACATCCTCATGCAGACTTTTAAGTGTATGGTTACGTTTTTGGTAGAATTCATGCGTGTGTCTATCTGACGGTAAACATAAATGTTGTAACTCGAGAAGGCTGTCATTAATTGTCTTGATATTTGGTCATGGTCATGATTGTGGGAAAGTCGACGATGAGACCGGTCCCTCGTGGCTTGTTATTGAGCTGCAATGGATTAACTGACGGAACTTCTAGTTTTGACATTTGTGTATGTTACAGTCACAAATTTGTAGCTCATGCTCATCTGTCGTGTAATCCATGAGAAACAGAATTTCGTGAGTCATCATTTGGCAAAGGTCATGGAACTATTTTAGTAACTGAATTTGAAAAAATGACAAAATGCAAAGTTTTCACTTAAGTAAACAATGAGCACTTACAATCATTTTCTAAATTATTCCTCTGATATGCATTTGGTATTGTATACAAAAGAAGTTTTGGCCACACTAATTTAATTTCTTGGTTAACGGATTCGCCCGCTTCATTTTTTTCTTATTTGCAAAAAAAAAAAATTCAGAATCAACTGCAAAATGCTCATATTTTGCCAGGTGAACAGTTGAAAACAGTCCTTTTCATCCTACATTGTAGTTGTTACAGTTATTCCATCTTTCAATGCAATGGTATCATTAAAAGTTCAAAATTCATTGTTTAAATTTGGAACCAGCCTGGTGTGTTGACATCATGGCTCCTATTGTACCATTTTGGGCCATAATAGGATGCCTAGGCCTGTTTTTATTTTTTATTTTTGCCCGCCAGCTCCATTATTTTTCTAGAAAAATCCATTCACCAAGAAATTGAATTGGTGTGGCTTTATCTACTAGAAGTATGGACTCTAGAAGATTTTTTTCAGAGATTCACACTTTTTAAAAAAATTACCAAACATATCCTGTGATGCCCCAAGAATTTGATGGTGCCAAGAAATGTATAAAATCTTATGAACTTAACTCATATTTCCCTTTTCTTTCGTCAGCAACGGGAGTTGGTGCAGCAATTGGTGGTATTGCATCTTTGGGAACAGTAGCAGCTCTTGTTATAGCAGATCGTCAAGGAAATGAAAGGCTGCTTCAGGTATATGCTATCTTCCTTGAGACTGAAGGCAAAACAGTGGAATTTGAGTCCAACTACTTGAAAGCAGTGCTTTTGTCAACAAAAATTGTTGACAGAAGTGACATGACAGAAAGCCAACTTCAGCGTATAATTGATGATGTGAAAGACGAGAGTCGTGCATCAGTCATCAAGCAAGTGGAAAGAGCGGTTATGTACAAACTGCCTGACATCAGCAAAGGTGACCTTAGGTTAGGATGGTCAGGTAACATTCACGATGCAGCAAACTTTGACTACGAAGCAAGAGCCTGGCTACATGACGACAGTGTTAAAGATGTCAACGACAGCATTCTCATCGCGTGCATCCAGTTTGGGATGCGCAACCTCTTGCGGGATGTGTTCATTCTTGGGGTGATCGGACCAGAAGACAAGAGCAAAAAAGGTCTGATGAAGTTGGTTTTCCCAAATGCAGTCCAAAAGCTTGAACAGAAGAGTTGCACTTGTGACATGTTGCTCTATGATGGATCTGAGAACATGCAGGTATACATGACTTGTATACAGTTTAATACTCATTTTGAATTAAAGCAAATAATTGGAATTTATAACGAAAGCCAATTAAAATCTCCACCACACACTAACCCTTTGTCTGTTCTTCAAATACCCTTTCTTCTTTTAGAGTACTTTGCCTGTGATGCTGTTTCCAAGTGCGCCTAAAGCAATAAGACGGAAGACTAAAGCGATAGAAGCAGCCCTTGGACTGTGGACTCGCTCCTGTTCTGCATTCATCTGTGTAGTGGATTACACTCGAGGTACCCTACCACAATTACAATAGACCAAAATAAGCTAAGCATTTACTTCAATCCAAAGCAGTTAATTTTGTATACCAATAAATATCTCTCCTTAGTATATAAACCAAAAAAAATAGAAGGATGATGCTTTATACAAAATTCAAGTGCCAATAATTCAATTTGGAGGAAAATGCACTCAGTCTGAATATGCTGCAACTTTTCGTAGCATACGTAAGCCAGTGTGAGAGTCATCCTTCTACAAATTATGTTGAATTAAAATGGCTGTTTACAACCTTATTGAAAAAGGCATTATTATATATCCAGTTACTCCCTTTGAAAGAGGTATTGACAGTTCCTTTTTCATCTACTAGTAGGTTGTTCTCCATACAAATTTCTTTTCATTGTCAGTATTAAGGTCATCATTTAGTTTTAATATTACCATTTAGGCATTCCTGACTTGGAAGACTTGGAGGTGGTTTCTGAACTGTGTGTTCCTGTACTGCTGTGCATCAACACCAATGGTAGACTGCTAGGAAGGGAAGCAGAGAGGGCCATAGATACATACAAGTCCTACGTGAGCTATGGCCTGAGGGATCTGGTCCAGGTGATCTTGGTTGATGTAAGTGGCACAGACAAGTCTCCATGGATCACAGGGGGAGGGGATGTAAAATACTGGGTACAGGATGTCCACGATCATCACCAGGAACTTGCATGTAACATGATTGACAAGGACTTCAGAGATTCACTCTGAACTAGCAGTACTGATGATTACTGACTCCATGCAGAGGTTTACATGAAGGTCTTGGCTTATTTTTGGCATGTTTTTAGGCTTTTTATCAGGCTTTTAAATCTTTTTTATGCAAAAAGGAAAGACAGATAAGAAAATCCTAAAAACACGTCAAATTTAAACCCAAACCTTTGCTTGCAATTGGACTCGGTTGGAGAGAACTGACGATTAGTTTGGTCCCTATTATACTTATAGGGCTGCTAGCCTGGGTGCCATCCGATTTGTAATGGCAACCCTGAAGAATCGGATGGCACCCAGGTTATAGGGCTGCATTGGAAAGAACAGAATTTGTCAACGTGACTTTTATTTCATTTTAATTAGTACACTACATATGAGAAAATCCCTTCACCTAAAATCTTCTTAAAACTAAAAAGTTCAATCCAATGTCAATCATGGCATGTGCAAATCACATGTATGTGACCAATATCACTGAACCAACAACAAATGACATGAAAAAATAATAATTTGAGAAGCAACTAAAAGCCAACATTATTTAGAAAGGCCAATGTTTGTTTGGGAGCAAATACAGCATATTTCACCCTATCTTCCTCCCCATTCCAAAATAGACTGTTCCATATCAACCTTTTTGCAGAAATGAACCATCCCAAAGTTTAACTCACAATATCACCCCACTCTGCAATGGGATTTTCTGACTTTAATGACCATCACATGAGGAAAAACAAATTATATATTTCATCGATACCATTGGTACAGAGTGAAGTATTAAACAATTGTATGTAGTCATGATAATTATTTGCTTCTTGAAAGAACATTATCTATGACCGGGTATACCATATATGCTCACCAAGACGTTGTTTGGGATCGTGTGGCATAATGATTGGATGTTTGGCCAAGAACCCATAACATCTGTGTCCATAATATCACCATAGTCCATGATATCGCCACCTTGAGAAAAAGTGTACTTAAAGATATTTTTACTGCGGTATGTACATTTGAGGTGTGCTGGAGTACATACCTGAAAAGTATGTTGCAGTAAAATATCTTTAACTTTAGTTTAAGCACACTGTTTCTCAAGGTGGCGATATTATGGACCCTGGTGATATTATGGACATGGATGTTAGAAGGTAGGTCCCATCTGCACTCCCATGCACATTAAAAAATATCCATCACAGCCAACCTTGTTTCCGTCCTACTCCATGGTTGGGGGGACTTCGGCAGTGCCAGGTGGCCAAATTTCCCATGTGACAGGGGTTTTAACTTTGTAGTTAACGTTAATATCTTTCACCAAGCTTGTGGGGCTTTCACAAACTCGTTTCAAGCTCCATAATACATTGTACTTGTATGCCTGTGTGAATTTATTATTTACCATGTACATGCTTAAAGTTTTTTCAATTTCCCATGGAATGCAGTTAAACTTAATATGTAGTGCTACGTACATGTAGTCTAGTATACAATACCTTTGCTGAAAGGACTAAAATCCATTTTGTAACTAGAGTCTATGGTGATATTATATTCTTCGCTAGGGCAGAAATGCGGATAATTTGTTATCAGTGTGTACAGCAGAACTTAGAGCAGGGTGTATCAAACAGATGAATATTAATGATCACGATATCAATCCGATTTTTTACGTTATAACTTACAAAGTACAAATGTATGTAAGTGTTAAAACAGGTTGTTGGACACTAGTGTTGCACACTTACTCTAACAAAAATGTTAGACTAAGAATTTGAGTGTATGAAATGTGTTTCATTATTTTGCCAAGAATATCAATAATTACATGTATTTTGTTTTGGGGAACGGGTTTTCTGCACATGAAAAACTTGCGCGTGAAAAGTCCCCTGAAATATGTAAGAAAATGTGCAGTACCAAATTCTTATGCAGTAAAATGTGATCCTGTGGTATAATTTTCCATCTGTAACTCAAAAGTTTTGTTGGAAATTTTAAGTCCCTTGAAAATAGGTTAATTTGCATATTTTCCTTGAAATCTGAACATTTGAAAATCACTTGAATTTGTAAAAAAATACATGGAAAAATTACTAGTATAAGGTTTAGGATGGTAAAATGTAACAATCTGAAGCTTTTCTCCATTCTAGAAGCTTGCTTTCATATTTTAGGAAACAAATTCTTTCACACGCAAATTTCAACTTTTTTTGCACGTGAAAACTTAACTTTTGAAAATCACTTAAAATCACTGAAATATTGACAAAATACTGCTATGTAGTCTAGAATGCAACAAAATGATATTCAATTCTGTTTTATGTCTTTTTTTTCAACTATTATTAAGCTTAAAACAGCAAAAAGTTTTAAAGTCCCTTGGGAATTGGCTAACTTGCATATCTTCATGCACAGATTTTTCACGCGCGCAAATTTTTCTAACTAAAATACTTCAATCAGGACCTCATTTGCATGATTCATGAGGAAGTGCTAGAATAGCTTTTTTTGTGTAAAATAAGACTGTCATTGGGTGAAGATTGAAGAATGTGAACAACTGAATATAATTCATGTTAAATGATGATCCAAGTTGCATAATCAATAAGACAAAGAAACAGTCATCATTCATCAATCATACATGTAAAGGTTTGAATGTTTGAGGTTGTGGAACTAGTTTATAGTGCTAGCAACCCATATCCAAAGTTGTGCCAGAAACTTAATTGCATGATAAAAATGTATCTTTGTTAAAGAGGTGAAGTGTCTAGTCTAAGTCATGAATTATATCAGATGAACTTGAGCATTTTCTCCATGATCCCAGTTTTGCAATGATCCTAACAAAGAAGGCTATTATTAGCATTTCTCTATTCAGTTTCATATTGATAACTGTATTAGTCATTTTTTTTCACATTTCCCCTGGTTGTAAACAAAGCAAAAGCAATTTGTTTCTGACAAGTTACTGACAACTCATGCAGCATTCCAAAGTAGGAATATTTTCAGAGTGTCAGGTTAATCATTTTATTAAGATTTATATTAGATTCAACTTATAATGTAAAAAAAATGAATGTGAATTGAGCAGATTCTGGCTACAGTACCCATCTTATTGTTACTTTTGAAATCAATATCACTGTCATTTAATATCAGATATTTTCTATGGGTTGTTTTGTTTTTGTGCGTCTGTGGTGTTTGTTGCTGTGTTTTGTTCTATGGCATCTTGATCAAAATGCTTTCAATCATGTTTGACAATAAAAGGGACTGTCTGAGTGTGAACTACATGTACCTGTTTCTACTGTACATGACTATGTATACATTCCCATATTATATTTTTCATTACCTCATAAGCCTGTGTTACCCTACCAATCCTCGTTCCAGATCACAGTTCCTATTCCAGATGACAACGCAATTACGACCAGCGAAGCCAGAGCATAGAGACGACTGAGTGTATTCTTTGTTCTCTCAAACCAACTGCCCAGTACGCATGCGTACATCGGATCAAACCATTATCCTAAAGGGGGTGTTTCTACATGGCAACACACGCCCCCCCTGGCTGAGATGTCGTCCCGACATTTGACAATAAATATTGAACTGTTGTAAATAACATGTAGAACTGTTAACTTGGAACTTCTCTATAGCTACATCTATGTGAATTCGAATAAAATATTTTTAACTTGTACAACAAAGTAAAGAGTGTTAGAACTGCCTTAAGAACCGCTTTGACTATTGAATTAAACTTAACTACAGCAAGACTGCATTTTTCACTACGTAACTTGCACGTACATTTCAAACATCGCGAAGGCACTGACTTCTACAGTAGCAAACTGATATAAGATAATATTCTACTTCCATACAGAAGAGATAGATGCATACTAGCATCTATATTACTTAACAACATGGCTGAACAACTCGTCCACTTACTAATACACAAAGAAATCACAGCTTTCTTTCTTCCCCTAACTGATGCATTATAGTGTAATCTTCAGAATGTCACCTCTTAATCCACTAGAGAACATTTCATACTCCCTACACTTTTTCTGAAAGAAATAGATTTACTATAGGAGTTCTTCATCAACAGACACATCAACAATCCACGGTATAATAACCTCCACACATGTTGATTGCCCAAGAAGTTTCACATGACCTGACGACAGATGTTCTCTCTTTCTCAAGTTCTACCTCATTCACACTATGTCTCTATTACACATGTTCCACAATATTATGCATTCACTGTTCATAATATAATTGTCCCTTGAGACTCTTCTCCTTCAGCGGGTAATCCACAGGTGCAGCGGCACAGGTACAGCAGATAATCCACAACACGAACAGTAATTCTTATTCCAAACAGTTAATTGTCCACAAGAACAACAGGTAATCCACAGAAACAAGTAATCCACTGGAATAGTAATCCATGGCAGTTCACAGTCCACACAAATAGCAGGTACTCCACAGGAATAGTAATCCATAGCAGTTCACCATCCACCCGAACAGCAGGTACTCCATCCCCTTAGCTGGGCGCGTACATGCGAATTATCGGTATCAACTGTCTGCAGTGAGGGCACGACTGATATAATTGCCCAGGATGCCCTACTCCCGCATTCCACATGTTCAGTGGCCATGGTGTCCCTACGTTCCACTCTGCTGCATTTACTGTGTTCACTGTTGGCACTCTCAAGTAGCCAGGTTGTCCACCTACATCATACGTGAGAGTCCGTGGTGGTCTCCTATTTCGTCTCGGTCTATTCTCTTCTGCTTCTGCTGAGTCTGGAACATCCTCACCACCCTGGGACACACAGGGCTGGTCCTCAGACTCAACTTCAACTCCACTTAGTGCAGATTCTTCTTTCTCGCTGTCACTATCGCTGTCTGAGCCTCCTGACTGGCTCTCAGGTTCAGGCTCTTCATCTTCTTCTACTCTGCTGGGCACAGCTTCTGCCTGGCTCTCAGGTTCAGCCTCTTCATCTTCTTCTACTCTGCTGGGCACAGCTTCTTCTTTCTCACTACCTCTCCCCTCCTCCTCTTGAGGTGTTCTCCTTCTACTCTGTTTGGGAACTGGGACCTCTAGGGGCAGTCCCTCGCATGGGAGTAACATATTTCTATGCAACACTCGTGATCTTCCCTCTTGGCACTCTGGGCGTACCTCATACACGGGGATATTTTTCCCCTTTTGCTTCACAACGATGTGGATTTTGTCCTCCCAGTGGGAACGCAACTTGCCCGGTCCTCCTCGGTCTGTCATATTTCTAACAAGGACCCGGTCACCACTGGACAGACTGAGACCGAGCACCTTTCTGTCGTACTGTTTCTTCCCTTTTGCACTTGTTTTCCTGGCCTGCTGACTCGCAATCCTGTAGGCCTCCTGCATGCCCCTTTTCCATCTCTTGACATACTCAGGATATGATTGAACCTCATGCTCCTTGTCTTCAATCCCAAACATAAGGTCCACTGGCAGTCGGGGGTGATGTCCATACAACAGGAAGTGGGGAGAGTAACCGGTGCTCTCATGTCGGGTGCAGTTGTACGCATGAACCACCTTGTTAAGAGACGCCTTCCAATCTGTCTTCTGGGATTCTGGGAGAGCACGTAACATCGCTAGCAAAGTCCGATTAAACCTCTCCACTTGACCGTTTCCCTGGGGGTGATAGGGAGTTGTTCTCGAGGGCGACACTCCACTCAGCTGATGTAGGCGTTGAAACAACCTGTTTTCAAACTCCGCTCCTTGATCATGGTGAATCTTGAGAGGATACCCAAATCTAGGAATGAAGTCATTGAAGAGCTTCTCTGCTGCTGTTCTCCCTGCCTTATTCCTGGTGGCATATGCTTGAGCAAACCGTGTGAAATGGTCCACAACCACCAGAATGTACTCGTAGCCACCTTTGCTCCTTTCAAGGTGGACATAGTCAATAGACACCAGTTGTAGCGGCTCAGTGGTGATGATGTTAGTAAGTGGAGCTTTGTCTGGAATG